ATGTACCCTATGCAGTGTCTCCTTGGAATCTTTGGCACAATAAGGCCCATGTACCCTATGTTTGTCTCCTTGGAATCTTTGGCACAATAAGGCCCATGTACCCTATGTTTGTCTCCTTGGAATCTTTGGCACAATAAGGCCCATGTACCCTATGCAGTGTCTCCTTGGAATCTTTGGCACAATAAGGCCCATGTACCCTATGTTTGTCTCCTTGGAATCTTTGGCACAATAAGGCCCATGTACCCTATGCTTGTCTCCTTGGAATCTTTGGCACAATAAGGCCCATGTACCCTATGCTTTGTCTCCTTGGAATCTTTGGCACAATAAGGCCCATGTACCCTATGCAGTGTCTCCTTGGAATCTTTGGCCTTGTAATGCAGTGTCTCCTTGGAATCTTTGGCACAATAAGGCCCATGTACCCTATGTTTGTCTCCTTGGAATCTTTGGCACAATAAGGCCCATGTACCCTATGCTTTGTCTCCTTGGAATCTTTGGCACAATAAGGTCCATGTACCCTATGTTTGTCTCCTTGGAATCTTGGGCACAATAAGGCCCATGTACCCTACCCCTATCTTTGTCTCCTTGGTGTCTCCTTAGGAATCTTTTGTACAATAAGGCCCATGTACCCTATGCAGTGTCTCCTTGGAATCTTTGGCACAATAAGGCCCATGTACCCTATGCTTTGTCTCCTTGGAATCTTTGGCACAATAAGGCCCATGTACCCTATGTTTGTCTCCTTGGAATCTTGGGCACAATAAGGCCAATGTACCCTATGTTTGTCTCCTTGGAATCTTTGGCACAATAAGGCCCATGTACCCTATGCAGTGTCTCCTTGGAATCTTTGGCACTATAAGGCCCATGTACCCTATGTTTGTCTCCTTGGAATCTTTGGCACAGTAAGGCTCATGTACTCTTTGCTAGTGTCTCCTTTGGCATCTTTGGACTCAATAAGGCCCATGTACTCTATGCTGTCTCCTTAGGAATCTTTGGCACAATAAGGCCCATGTACCCTATGCAGTGTCTCCTTGGAATCTTTGGCACAATAAGGCCTATGTACCCTATGCAGTGTCTCCTTGGAATCTTTGGCCTCAATAAGGCCCATGTACTCTATGCTGTGTCTCCTTAGGAATCTTTGGCACAATAAGGCCCGTGTACCCTATGCTTGTGTCTCCTTGGGATTCTTAGGCAGACTATATCCGAGTCCTCTATGCTTGTGTCTCCTGGGGATTCTTAGGTGGAATGGGTCCCCAGTAACCCGTGCTTGTTTCCCTGTGGGATTCTTTAGCAAAAAACATTTATTGTAGTGTTAAACAAGAAACTTTATATTCTGTCTCAATGTAGCAGCATACAGTAAAGAGTAGAATGGGCACTATTAGAAGCTTGCTCAAAAGGTCAGGCTCTAAAAAGACAGTGTATCTGTGAATATACCTTTGTGATAAAAATAATGTGTCCGAAGGATTTGACCTTTAACAGAACACAATGGCCAACATTTGGCTTAGGATCAAGTCTAGCGAGGTTTCTTGTCATACAGGTATTAGAGGTGAAGGGGTTGTTTCACTCTGTGTGGGCTAATCAATGCGACTGCAGCAGAAAGTGGGTTATCTGGTGTGTCCAGTATCTGTAATACATGTAGGACTTACATCACCATGCAACGTGACTATGTCACTGGGGGCCTGTCAGGCTGAAAATAACTAACAGGGTCAAGGTAGCTTGATAGGTGTGCGGGCGGAAGGGTACGACCAGAAAATATGGGTTTCGGTTAACACTCCCGACAAACCTACAACCAAGTGTTGTTTTTCATCACGGCCAGAAACATCAGTCAAGAAACTCATTAACATTCTTAAATAAACATTCCACATTCTATTTTGACCTACAAATCCAACATGAAGTAAAACAAACATTGGGCCCAAACAAGCATGCTGTACATTGTACGAAGATTATAACACACCTACTGCCCTATAGCTGTTGGGTCCTTATCACAGGAAAGACAAGTAATTGTTAGGTGTATCCTTCCTGGCCAGGTGATAACAGTGTTTGCTAATGTCAACAGTATTGAGTTCAGTTCCTGACATGGGTTCTCTGTGTGGAGCTGTCCCACTAAATATATCCACACCATTGTACTCTCTCTCACTCTAGCTGTAGAAGACCTGTAACATGACTAGGTGTAACGCAGCTGTAATGTGGATGATGGCTTTTGACATAAGAGGGTTTAGATAGAGCTAACTTTAGTTTGATATGACTGGCATAATTCTAACTATAGATTAGATAAGCTATAATGTTGCTGACTATGCTGTAAATCCATTCCATCAATGACCATTCAATACTGGTACAACCTAGTTGATGGTTAGTCACGCTAGATAAGTCAGAAAACTTCCACCGCTCCGCAAAGTTTGGCAGAAGTGTGGACTGATAGATTGCCATGGCACTATTTCTGTCTTAGAGTAAACAGTATCAATAGCAGGAACCGTAACTACCTCTTTACTGGTAGCATTTCGTGGACTGTGCAGCTGGCAGCTGTTGTGTGATCAGCTGTGCCTGCAGTCGGTTGTGCATCATGCCTACAGATGGCGTAATCAATACTTACCATTGTTATGTACCAATTCAGTGATATTGCTTTATATACCACACTATGTTCAATAGTAATTTACAGGTATTGACGTATCAAGTACCCATGTAAGTCAAATAGGCTGGCATTATGAAAATACTTTTTGGCTTAAAGTATGTTTTTCCTCATAATTTTGTGTTCAATTATTTTGCTAAAGTTGCTTGAATTTTATTCCCATAATGTTTTTATTTTGTATATGCTGACAGTATAAAAATTAAGGGGGTTAGTGGGCACAAAATCTGTTTTTCTTTCTATTTGATGACTTCTTGATATAAAATAAGATTTCAGGAGATCCATGACTGAAATGATTAACATTTGGTTTATACCAAGGATGCTCTTTCTCTTGTCCTACTAAATTGCAAATTATTTTTTATAAGAAGACAATGTTACAGTAATCTGGGATTTACAAGCTGTCAACATGTTTTCTGGAATAGACTTTCCCATACGTGACACTGTCATCAATGTGTGACACGTTTTGGATTGTTCCATTTCCCAATTAGGGGTGACAGGTCATTCCCCAATTTGCCATGTGCCTCCCACTGCCTGTATTAACATATATTTGCATGTGTCAGGTCAGACCACATGCCTGTGTAGGCACTGTCAGACATATTGATTACCCATGATTCATTGCTGGCCTCTGTCGGCCAGTCATTTGTATTCCGTTAACATGTAATTGCAGCTAGTTATTACTGGAATGATGTGGCCTGGTGATAAAGCCTATAATAAACCTCTGGGAAAGGTCTGATGAATACAGATGAGGCTTTGTGTAGGTTATACTGATGCATGCTGGGAAATGTCCAAATTTGGAATAATTAGTGTTAAGGCAATACAAGGAGCTTTGTTTGTTAAGATAAATAAGTGATGATTTTCTTAGCAATTTTTAAAATTATTTTAGCATTTTTTTTATTAAGTAGAATGAAATGGCTAGTGATGTAAAGCTAGGAAGTTGACTATTTTATTGATAAATGTCTTATTGTTAAAATGTCGTCCGTATGAAATACAGTTGATGAGTAACTATGGTTACAAACAATCTTGCCCTTCTTGGGAATTATTAGTTATTGATGCAGTGAACCCTTTATCCAAGACATCGTGTTCAAAGATAACATTGACCCCCCCTAAATTGTTCACATCACGTCCCTCTTGAGGCCAGGGGCACTTTGACCCCTTGAGCTGAGAGTTGGTGCAGTGATGAATGTTGACTGTAATTGGGACATAGCTCAAGTTGCATTTATTATTCACTGGGGTCAGGGCGGAGATTTTCCCTGAAAATTTGCATCCTGTCTCCATGATTTTAGCCCTTTCCCAAACTCAAAAATGCATCTTGGCACCAGCCCACCTGTTCAAGTTATTCTGAAGCTCAAGGTGACTCTATTTATAGGTAATGCCAGATAGACTGCCAGCTCTCTCATCACCATACCACAACCTACCCCATCAATACAACCACACAAGAACACAAAACATACCTCGTCCATCCACCCAGTCCTAAATCCCATCCCATCCCATCCTGCCCCATATCATCTCATCCCCATCCCATATCATCCCATTCATCCACCCAGTCCTCAATCCACCCCATCCCATCCCATAGCATCGCAACCCAGCCCATCCTATCCCATCCATCCAATCCTCAATCCACCCCTAGCCCATCCCATCCTGCTCCATATCATCCCATCCCCATCCCATCCCATCCACCCAGTCCATCTCAATCCACCCCAACCCATCCCATCCATCCTGCTCCATATCATCCCCATCCTGCTCCATCCCCATCCCATCCCATCCCACCCAGTCCCAGTCTCAATCCACCCCAACCCATCCCAGCCCATCCCATCCTGCTCCATATCATCCCATCCCTTCCCATATCATCCCAGCCCCATCCCAGCCCATCTCATCCTGCTCCATATCATCCCATCCCATGCATCCACCCATCCCAGCCCGTCATATCCTACTCCATATCAATCCCATCCCCCATCCCATCCCATCCCATCCTGCTCCATATCTTCCCATCCCCATTCCATCCATCCAGTCCTCAATCCACCCCATCCCATCCCATCCTGCCCCATATCATCCCATCCCATCCATCCACCCAATCAGTCCTCAATCCACCCCAACCAATCCCATCCAACCACACCCCATCCCACCCCATATCATCCCATATCCCGTCCTGTCCATCCCTGATGATCCCAATCCCCATCCCACATCACACCATCCCATCCCCATCCCGTCCATCCACCCTGTCCTCGATCCACCAGGACCCATCCCATCTCACCAAAATACAAAAATGTCACTTTTTTCCCCAGATTGTTTGTTTACACAGGCAGTTACTTTGGACACTGGGAATTTCTGACTACATATTATCTTCACGAATATCTATTTTATTATCCTATCCTATCTGTTGCAGTTGTTTGACAAGCTACGGATGTTGTTACCCCACTTTGACCAGAAGATCCACCCAGTGCAGGGCGACATATCCCTCCCTAATGTGGGGCTCTCCCTAGTGACACGGCTCTCCTCGTTGACCATGTCGACATCATCTTCCACAGTGCTGCCACAGTTAGATTCGATGAACCTCTCAGGTATTAGCAATTGATGATGGTGGTTGCTTGGTTGGTTGTTGTTTTACAGCCGCACATAGCAATATTCCAGCTATCTGTAAATAATCAAGTCTGGACCAGACAATCCAGTGATGACATGTGTCAGCCAAGTCAGCAAGCCTGACCACCCAATCCAGCCTTGTACTACAAGCATGGGTAAAATGATGGTTATGGTGGTGGTGGTGATGATGATGATGATGATGATGATGATGATGATGATGATAATAGTTGAATTGACCTGGCAGTACAAAACAGTTTGTAACTTATCGTTCATGAAGATATTCTTGTCCTTATCACTGATTTGGTGGTAAACTATTTACAGTGAACAGTTTTCAAGTTGTTTTGATGATTAGGAATGTTATTGTACCATTCTCAGGTTATCCACAGAGATGAATGTGGTTGGGGTGAGGAAGATGATTGAACTAGCCAAGAAACTGAAACATCTACAGGTGAGTGAGGGGGAATCAGTCATGACAACTGAGGAAGAGGGAAGAGAGGAGGGAAAGGTTGAAGGAAGTGAGAGAGAGGAGAGGTGGATTGAGGAAGTAAGGGACAGCGTAGGAGGAGTTGAGTGGAGGAAGTGAGGGATGGATGCAGGAGTTAGGGAAGGGAGGAGAGACGAATGGAGGAAGTAAGAAAAGTAGGACAGATGGTTGGAGGAAGTAAGGGATGGAGGAAGAGAGATGGTTGGAGGACGTAAAGTAGGGAGGAGAGATAGATGAAATAAAGGATGGAGGAGAGATAGAAGAAGTAAGGATGTAAGACAGATGGTTGGAGGTAGTAAGGGGTGGAGGAAGAGAGATGGTTGGAGGAAGTAAAGTAGGGAGGAGAGATAGATGAAGTAAAGGATGGAGGAGAGATAGAAGAAGTAAGGATGTAGAACAGATGGTTGGATGAAGTAAGGGGTTGAGGAAGAGAGATGGTTTGAGGAAGTAAAGTAGGGAGGAGAGATAGATGAAATAAAGGATGGAGGAGAGATAGAAGAAGTAAGGATGTAAGAGAGATGGTTTGAGGAAGTAAGGGATGGAGGAAGAGAGATGGTTTGAGGAAGTAGAGTAGGGAGGAGAGATAGATGAAGTAAAGGATGGAGGAGAGATAGAAGAAGTAAGGATGTAGGACAGATGGAGGAAGTAAGGGAAGGAGGAAGAGAGATAGTTGGAGGTAGTATTGTAGGGAGGAGAGATAGATGAAGTAAAGGATGGAGGAGAGATAGAAGAAGTAAGGATGTAAGAGAGATGGTTTGAGGAAGTAAGGATGTAAGAGAGATGGTTTGAGGAAGTAAGGGGTGGAGGAAGAGAGATGGTTTGAAGAAGTAAAGTAGGGAGGAGAGATAGATGAAGTAAAAGATGGAGGAGAGATAGAAGAAGTAAGGATGTAGGAGAGATGGTTGGAGGAAGTAAGGGAAGGAGGAAGAGAGATGGTTGGAGGTAGTAAAGTAGGGAGGAGAGATAGATGAAGTAAAGGATGAAGGAGGGATAGAAGAAGTAAGGATATAGGAGAGATGGTTGGAGGAAGTAAGGGAAGGAGGAGAGAGGTGGAGGAAGAGAGATGGTTGGAGGAAGTAAAGTAGGGAGGAGAGATGAAGTAAAGGATGAAGGAAGAGAGATTGTTTGAGGAAGTAAAGTAGGGAGGAGAGAGATGAAGTAAAGGATGGAAGGGAGGTAGAAGAAGTAAGGCTGTAGGACAGATGGTTGGAGGAAGCAAGGGTGGAGGAAGAGAGATGGTTGAGGGAAGTAAAGTAGGGAAGAGAGATAGATGAAGTAAAGGATGGAGGAGAGATAGAAGAAGTAGAGGATGTAGGACAGATGGTTGGAGGAAGGAAGGGGTGGAGGAAGAGAGATGGTTTGAGGAAGTAAAGTAGGGAAGAGAGATAGATGAAGTAAAGGATGGAGGAGAGATAGAAGAAGTAAGGATGTAGGACAGATGGTTGGATGAAGTAAGGGGTGGAGGAAGAGAGATGGTTTGAGGAAGTAAAGTGGGGAGGAGAGATAGATGAAATAAAGGATGGAGGAGAGATAGAAGAAGTAAGGATGTAAGAGAGATGGTTTGAGGAAGTAAGGGGTGGAGGAAAAGAGATGGTTTGAGGAAGTAAAGTAGGAAGGAGAGATAGATGAAGTAAAGGATGGAGGAGAGATAGAAGAAGTAAGGATGTAGGACAGATGGTTGGAGGAAGTAAGGGAAGGAGGAAGAGAGATGGTTGGAGGTAGTAAAGTAGGGAGGAGAGATAGATGAAGTAAAGGATGGAGGAGAGATAGAAGAAGTAAGGATGTAAGAGAGATGGTTGGAGGAAGTAAGGGGTGGAGGAAGAGAGATGGTTTGAGGAAGTAAAGTAGGGAGGAGAGATAGATGAAGTAAAGGATGGAGGGGGAGATAGAAGTAAGGATGTAGGAGAGATGGTTGGAGGAAGTAAGGGAAGGAGGAGAGAGGTGGAAGAAGAGATAGTTGGAGGAAGAAAGTAGGAGGAGAGATGAAGGAAGGGATGAAGGAGGAGAGAGGTTTGGGAGGAGGAGATGAAGGAGAGGAGATGGAGGAAGTAAAGTAGGGAGGAGAGAGATGAAGTAAAGGATGAAGGAGGGATAGAAGAAGTAAGGATGTAGGAGAGATGGTTGGAGGAAGTAAGGGAAGGAGGAGAGAGGTGGAGGAAGAGAGATGGTTGGAGGAAGTAAAGTAGGGAGGAGAGAGATGAAGTAAAGGATGAAGGAGGGATAGAATATGTAAGGATGTAGGAGAGATGGTTTGAGGAAGTAAGGGATGGAGAGATGGAAGAAGAGAGATGGTTGGAAGTAGTAAAGTAGGGAGGAGAGATAGATGAAGAAAAGGATGTAGGAGGAGAGATGGTTTGGGAGGAGGAGATGAAGGGAGAGGAGAGATGGATGGAGGAAGGAAGTGAAGGAGGGGGAAAGATGGTTGGAGGAAGAAAGATAGAGGAAGTAAGAGAGGAGATAAAGGAAGATAGGGGAGAGATGGATGAAGAAGGAAGGATAGAATGGTGACGTGGATGGTCAGTGTACTAATGTGTGCTGGCTGCATGTTGCAGGTGTTTGTCCATGTGTCCACTGCCTACGCCAACTGTGAACGACCCTACATAGAGGAGACCGTCTACCCTACCATCGTCCAGCCACAGAAGCTCATTGATGCTCTAGAGTAAGCACCCTCATCTTATCTCACCAATACTTGGCAGACTTGTCTCCCTTTGCTGATAGGATCTGCTGGTCGTGGGTTTGAATCCCTGATTGTGATCCATGGTCTGTTAGCACCACAGTGGATATTACCAGTTGTACCAAAATTGCAAACATGATAACACACTGTTTATCACTTTACAATATATACAGTATTAAATACATGGAGTAACTCACTCACCTGTCTTTGGGCACAGCTGGTGTTGAACACTGCAATTTTCTGTCACTAGGAAGAGGTTGGCTCAGATTGTTTGCTCTAATTAATTGCAGAAGTGGTAGACATCTGTATCTCTGTGGACTTGCCACCCTCATTGAGACGAAACACTGCGAAGCCCCACATTGCCCCACTCACTCACCTCACCTCACCTCACCTCACCTCACCTCTCACCTCACCTCACTCATTACTTGTCTCTTTCAGATGGATGGATGATGAGATGGTAGACATCGTCACCCCCAAGTTGCTTGGCAACAAGCCCAACACCTACACCTACACCAAGCAGTTGGGGGAGACGTTGCTGGTGACAGAGGGCGCCGGCCTGCCCATAGCCATCGTACGACCATCGATAGTTGGGGCAGCCTGGAAGGAACCTCTCCCTGTAAGTACCACATCCATGTTTGGGGTTTGTTGTTGAAACACCCTAGCAATGTCAGCAGCTAGTCATTATTAGGTGTGGAGTCAGCCCTTAGGTGACTTTCTTTCTGTGTCAGCTTACCACAGGTCAATACTGGTCAAAGTGGAGTAAACTGACTCACTCACTCACTGATGCATTGTTTGTTTTTTCTGTAGGTATTCAGTACATTTTGAGTCCATTTTGTGCATTCTGTTGGGTATTTTTGTGTCGATGAATGGACATTTCTTTGAAGTAATTCTCCTTGAAATGCTTTGGGCATTGGGGTAGCCTAGTGGTTAAAACTATTGCTCATCACCCCGAAGACCTTGGTTCGATTCCCCACATGGGTACATTGTGTGAAGCCCATTTCTAGTGTGCCTCGTCATCATATTGCTGGAATATTGCTAAAAGCAGCATAAAACTAAACTTACTCACTCCTCAAAATGCTGTTTCTATTGACTTGTAATTTGTGTGCTGCCCAAAGTGTGTAACATGTTGCATATACTCACAAGACTAACTGACTGAGTTTGGTTTGACGCCGCTATTAGCAATATTCCAGCAACATCATGGCGGGGAACACCAGAAATGGGCTTCACACATTGTACCCTTGTGGGGATTCGAACCCGGGTCTTCGGCGTGACGAGCCAACGCTTTAACCACTAGGCTAACCCACCGCCCCTACTCACAAGAGCAATAAACATGTCAACAATAAGCAACAAGTCACAGCTTTACCTGCAGTATCTTCTGCAGCAGAATCCATGATTTCTTCTATGGATCACAAGATATAGAAATGGAAAGAATATTATGTATGCATCTTGAAGAGGATACAATAGGTAGAGTCTTGTACATTAGTGCTGCATTTTGATGTATATTTGTAGGAAAGTTATTCAAATTTAATTGAATAATGGTTATGTGCTTTAAATATTTTATACAAATATACATCTTAACTTGAGCTCTGCTCAATCTGTTGTTGGTGATCCAACTGAAGCACTGTTCAATAGTGAACCCAGCTCAACTTCTTGTCAGTCATCATTGGAAATGACTCACTTTCATCCTGTTTTGAGATTTTGGTTTTACAACATCTAACTATTTTCTTGTTACAGGGTTGGATCGACAACTACAATGGGCCAAGTGGTCTGTACATTGCAGTAAGTCAGTCATCAGCTATGTTAAATACAATAGGACATAGGACAGTGCATGAAGGGAGATAACTCTTCCTCATCTGCCAGGCACTCAGTGGACTGAACTTGCAATACTGCTTTTTGTTATTTGAAGTAAAAGGTGAGGTGAGGTGAAATTGGGTTTAACGTCACGCTGGAGAATATTTCGCCATATGACAACGTGCATGTGTGTGTATGTGTAGGTGCGGCTGCTTGTACTAGCCCAGACTGAAGCTGGTTTTATAGTGCTAGCCCACTGAGATACCAAGCCGCAGTGAAGCATGAATACCCCACTCAGACACATTATACTGACTCTGAGCCGACCAGTCCAGTCCTTGTTGTACCCATTAATGCCGAGCGCCAGGCACGGACCAACAAGTACCATATTTTAACGTCTTTTGGTATGACGCGGTCGGGGATCGAACCCGCGACCTTCCGCTCTCGAGGCGGACGCTCTAACCACTACACCACGGAGGCGGTTTGAAGTAAAAGCATTGAGACAGCAAGTTAGGATTTTCCACTGTAAGTGATAATTGTCGTGTTTTTACTTGTTTTTTTTCTTGCATGTTGTAGACTAGGATTACAAACTGAATGTATATTCATTTAATCTTAGATGGAGGATTTTAACTTTTAACTTACTATTAGGGCGATGTCTGTCAGGCTGCATTGAGTGTTGTGTTGTTCCAGGCAGGGAAGGGAATCTTGCGGTCAATGAAGGGGGATCACAGTGCCGTGGCGGACATCATACCAGTGGACATCCCGTCAACCTGATGATCACCTCCCTACACTGCTGTGTACCAACCCAAACAGACTGGTACACTGCCACCGTCAGTCAACCCAAACCTGGGGAGATGGGTAGAGTTAACATGGTGTACCACTGTACCACTTGGGATCAGTCAACCCCTTCACCTGGGGGGAGATGGGTAGGTTAACATGGTGTAGCATTGGATCAGTCAACCCCTTCACCTGGGGGAGATGGGTAGGTTAACATGGTGTAGCATTGGATCAGTCAACCCCTTCACCTGGGGAGATGGGTAGGTTAACATGGCGTAGCATTGGATCAGTCAACCCCTTCACCTGGGGAGATGGGTAGGTTAACATGGTGTAGCACCGGATCAGTCAACCCCTTCACCTGGGGGGAGATGGGTAGGTTAACATAGTGTAGCACCGGATCAGTCAACCCCTTCACCTGGGGGAGATGGGTCACATTGATCAGTCAACCCCTTCACCTGGGGATGGAGATGGGTAGGTTAACATACCTGTGTACCACCATTGATCAGTCAACCCCTTCACCTGGGGGAGATGGGTAGGTTAACAAGGTGCATCACCAGATCAGTCAACCCCTTCACCTGGGGGGAGATGGGTAGGTTAACAAGGTGTATCACCAGATCAGTCAACCCCTTCACCTGGGGGGAGATGGGTAGGTTAACAAGGTGTATCACCAGATCAGTCAACCCCTTCACCTGGGGGGAGATGGGTAGGTTAACAAGGTGTATCACCAGATCAGTCAACCCCTTCACCTGGGGAAGATGGGTAGGTTAACAAGGTGTACACCAGATCAGTCAGTCCTCTTACAGTCATGTGGACATCTTTCAAAAGCTTAGGTGATGATTCCGACTGTATGCTTGATAGTACTGGTATTGAAGAAGTTACAGGAAATGCAGTATTATTCCGCAGTATCTATTTTGTACTTTGATACCATACTACACAGACATTTTGTGTTTCAGAATCTGTTGTAATTAACTTCTACAAGCGAACCCCACTAGATGACTGCTTCAGGCGACCCAACGTAGCATTAACAAATAACAGGTAGGTACCTTCGTCCTCCATCCTTGCTGCTTCTCTTCTGTCACCACTCATCTACTTGTGTTGTTATGTTGACAGTATATACAGGATCTGTGTATTCCAACCACCTTGTTTCAGCTTCCTCCATGACTACTGGATGTTCGTGAGTCACATGATACCAGCGTACATGTACGACCTTGTCTTCAAACTGGTGGGCAAACAGCCAAGGTAATAGTCATTTCAAGGTGTCTGTCATGTTCGTGATTTTGGAGGTCCCTACATGAGGAGAATACAGCAAGGTCTATTGAATCACCCGTAGTTTCAAAGACAGCTCAGCATCGTATAAACTAAGTCGGTGGATCATAGGGAAAGACTTGCACCATTGCAGATAAATAATATTTCAGTGTAAACAATTAAATCCAAAGGACTGTAAATAGCTGTAATATTGCTGATGCAGCATAAAGTAATAATTTTTCATTAATCCCAATCCAAACGCAATATGGTAGTTTGAGCAAGGGGAGAGAACTCATTCTATTTATTATCTCCCTTTCATTGAGTGCTTCACTGTCTATCAGCATGTATGTCATAGTTACATTACATCACTTTAATGCATGTTGTTTCTCTTATACTCTTGCTCTATGACAGATGTTCTTCTCAAGCAGCACTTAGGGTGCTGGGAATTAACTGATGAAATGAGGACTGGCTAGAAATGTCCACACATCTCTCACTCACTCCCTCTCTCATTGACTTTCTTCTCCCTCAAACTCCCTCTCTCATGCCCTCTCTCACTTTCACTCCATCATTCCCCCCTCACTCACTCACTCACTCACTCACTGTGTTTCTGTTTGTCCAGAATGGTGAAGACCTACAACAAGCTACACAAGTCATTGGACATCTTGACCTACTTCACCAGCAACTCGTGGGAGTGGACATACACCAACCTGGACATGTTGAAGAGTAAACTGACCACACAGGACCTCAAGGTACACTCACTGCGGACGGCATCGTAGTTCAGCTGGTCACCTGTCACACCCGTGTGTGAACCTCACTGTAGCAACTGAATCGATCCTGTGTTCAGGTTTACTTATATCACACTTTTATTGCATCTCTACTTATAATTCTAATACTGGCAATGTGAGACTACTTTCCCATGCATTGCCATTGATTCAATATGGTGGAGAAATATTGGTGGAAACTGACCATGCCCTGTTTGTTTGCAGACATTTTACTTTGACCCACGCCCCTTGCACTGGCCGACCTACATCGAGAACTACTGTCTGGGGGCCAAGCAATATCTCCTGAACGAAGACCTGGCTGGTCTGCCAGCTGCCCGGGCCCACCTCCGCAAGTACGTACCTCTGCTACTATAGAGAACACACTGTCTAGTCTGCCTGTAGATTCTAGTACAGGGACACACCCACTCAATACAACTCGAGTACAGGGACACACCCACTCAATACAACTCTAGTACAGGGACACGTCCACTCAATACAACTCTAGTACAGGGACAAGTCCACTTGATACAAATCTAGTACAGGGACACACCCACTCAATACAGCTCTAGTACAGGGACACACCCACTCAATACAACTCTAGTACAGGGACACACCCACTCAATACAACTCTAGTACAGGGACACGTCCACTCAATATAACTCTAGTACAGGGACACGTCCACTCAATACAACTCTAGTACAGGGACAAGTCCACTTGATACAAATCTAGTACAGGGACACACCCACTCAATACAGCTCTAGTACAGGGACACACCCACTCAATATAACTCTAGTACAGGGACACACCCATTCAATACAGCTCTAGTACAGGGACACTCCACTCAATACAACTCTAGTACAGGGACACACCCACTCAATACAACTCTAGTACAGGGACACACCCACTCAATACAACTCTAGTACAGGGACACACCCACTCAATACAACTCTAGTACAGGGACACGTTCACTCAATATAACTCTAGTAGAGGGACCACCCACTCAATACAGCTCTAGTACAGGGACACGTCCACTCAATACAACTCTAGTACAGGGACACACCCACTCAATACAACTCTAGTACAGGGACACACCCACTCAATACAACTCTAGTACAGGGACACACCCACTCAATACAACTCTAGTACAGGGACACACCCACTCAATACAACTCTAGTACAGGGGACACACCCACTCAATACAACTCTAGTACAGGGACACACCCACTCAATACAACTCTAGTACAGGGACAAGTCCACTTGATACAAATCTAGTACAGGGACACACCCACTCAATACAGCTCTAGTACAGGGACACACCCACTCAATATAACTCTAGTACAGGGACACACCCACTCAATACAACTCTAGTACAGGGACAAGTCCACTTGATACAAATCTAGTACAGGGACACACCCACTCAATACAGCTCTAGTACAGGGACACACCCACTCAATATAACTCTAGTACAGGGACACACCCACTCAATACAACTCTAGTACAGGGACACACCCACTCAATACAACTCTAGTACAGGGACACGTCCACTCAATACAACTCTAGTACAGGGACACACCCACTCAATACAACTCTAGTACAGGGACACACCCACTCAATACAACTCTAGTACAGGGACACGTCCACTCAATACAACTCTAGTACAGGGACACACCCACTCAGCTCAAGTACAGGGACACTAATACAACTCCAGGGGGGACACACCCACTCAATACAACTCTAGTACAGGGACACACCCACTCAATACAACTCTAGTACAGGGACACACCCACTCAATACAACTCTAGTACAGGGACACCACTAATACAACTCTAGTACTCACTTGATACAACTCTAGTACAGGGACACACCCACTCAATACAACTCTAGTACAGGGACACACCCACTCAATACAACTCTAGTACAGGGACACGTCCACTCAATACAACTCTAGTACAGGGACACACCCACTCAATACAACTCTAGTACAGGGACACACCCACTCAATACAACTCTAGTACAGGGACACACCCACTCAATACAACTCTAGTACAGGGACACACCCACTCAATACAACTCTAGTACAGGGACACACCCACTCAATACAACTCTAGTACAGGGACACACCCACTCAATACAACTCTAGTACAGGGACACACCCACTCAATACAACTCTAGTACAGGGACACGTCCACTCAATACAACTCTAGTACAGGGACACACCCACTCAATACAACTCTAGTACAGGGACACACCCACTCAATACAACTCTAGTACAGGGACACACCCACTCAATACAACTCTAGTACAGGGACACACCCACTCAATACAACTCTAGTACAGGGACACACCCACTCAATACAACTCTAGTACAGGGACACACCCACTCAATACAACTCTAGTACAGGGACACACCCACTCAATACAACTCTAGTACAGGGACACACCCACTCAATACAACTCTAGTACAGGGACACACCCACTCAATACAACTCTAGTACAGGGACACACCCACTCAATACAACTCTAGTACAGGGACACACCCACTCAATACAACTCTAGTACAGGGACACACCCACTCAATACAACTCTAGTACAGGGACACACCCACTCAATACAACTCTAGTACAGGGACACACCCACTCAATACAACTCTAGTACAGGGACACACCCACTCAATACAACTCTAGTACAGGGACACACCCACTCAATACAACTCTAGTACAGGGGACACACCCACTCAATACAGCTCTAGTACAGGGGAAACACCCAGCATGCTTTCGGGGCGGTGGGGTAGCCTAGTGGCTAAAGCATTCACTCGTCACATCGAAGCCCCGGGTTCCATTCCCCACTTGGGTACAATGTGTGAAGCCCATTTCTGGTGTCCCCTGCCATGATATTGCTGAAATATTGCTAAAAGTGGCTTAAAACTAAACTCACTCCCTCCATCCCTCCTCCCAGCATCTTTCTCTGTACCCTACACGTAAATAACAATACATAAACATAGTGCAGTGTGATTCAACAAGCGAAACAAAATTAATTTATTTATGTATTTTTTCAGATTGAGGAACATACGCTACATGTTTAACACAGTGACGGCAATAGTGTTCTGGAGAGTCCTGATCGCGAGGTCCGACATTGCGCGCAACGTGTGGTACCTCATCGTTAGTCTTGTGTTCAAGTTTGTCCGATTCTTTCGGATCACAAGCACCATGCAGAAGACATGAGTGGTGGAACTACTAGACATTTTGTATGCAAGACCAACCCTCATCCAACACTGACAGTTACAGAGAAATCATTTCAATATTGATACCATCAGTCAGACATCAGCATGTTCTGACTCAGTGCATCTGTCCATGGAATAACTTCTAGAATTCAGATATAAAGTATAAGATTTGTTACAAAGTTGGGAAACTGTTGATTTGGAATGTTGTTGCTGGTGCGGAGGACATATGTCCAGGGTATAGATTGGAATAGTCTCAACATGGCTAGGTATAATGGTTATTTGTGATCTTATGTTTTTGATGTTATAAATGTCTACTCAATCATGGCAGAATCTATTGACAGTGGTCAGGTCTTGGTTCTTCATGTTGGGGGTCGAAATTTTATCTTGTTGATAAACGTACAGGGGATAACTGATGTTGTCAGCTCTGGGACTCTTTCTTTTCCAAATATTTAATTTTTGTTGGATTTATGAAATCATGGACCTTTACCTGTTATGAATAGTATTTTTGCCAGTCTAAAATATTCATTTCTGTTGGATATTTTGTAAATGGCTAGGATAAATAAAACTTATCGGTTATTGACTGACTTCAAGTTGAAAGTTTTGAAGACGTCACCAGCTTGTGATGTATTGATGAAGTCATACCTGTAAATTGTATTGTGAATATTCCCTGTTGTTTGAAATATTGTAAAAACACAGTGTCAATGTAGATATGTACAGACTGTCATGGATTCTTTGATGAAAGTTATGAACAAACAGGATATCACGGCCAGCATCTGAGCTTCAGATGGATGAGACGGTGACAACTGGTGTCGTCCATCAGGTGTGGATGTGATGAGGGTATTCTATCAGAAACACAGGGCCTGGTTGGCTGTCTTGTACAGAAATGGTGGTTCATTAATTGACAGGGCTCAATAACCTGGGCCGTCTGACAATCTGTACTGTTCAAAATTAAGGGCTTGCTATGGTCGCCCTGAAACCTTTACTGGACTCCTTCTCGAGTGTCAACCATTTCTGGGCAAGGGTGAAAGATATGGGGCCAGTTCCTCAAAGTGGTCTCAGCACTAATGATACTTTTACTCGGACTTAGACAGTTTTAGTGCTAAGATTGCTTTGTAAAGCTGGGCCCAGAGTGAATCACCTGGGTATTTCTGGTGTATGATGTGAGATGTGAGATATGAGATATGGACTTCATGTAGCTCTGGAATTTGTTGACCATGTTCTAGTCCTACGTGTGTTGAACTGAGATCACAAAGAAAAGTGATCCAGTTGACCATAGTAGAAATGATTATCATCCAGGGCCCTGCTACATAAAATGATTTTAGTGCTGTTATTTTGCAACTCTCTTTCTGAAACCTAGGTCTACAATAGTTTCCTGACAGTCATAGGACTACGGTGATCGTAACTCCCACACTCAAACTTCAGTAATGATAGTTGTAGCTCTATAATCACTTTGTGGACTGGACCCTGTTCTTCAGTTACATATTGATCATCATGAACTCATTACGATGTGTTAGTGTCAGTCATGGTTTTACATGTACACCAACCAGCTGCGTAGACTCTGAGAGCAATGCAAGCACCTGGCTATCCACAGTCATTGTCATCCAACAAGTTATTGCATCAGTTAACCAGTATTCCACATTTTAGTTGATGGTATGGTTTTACTACTGGAGGGAAATATTGTCAGAACAAATCATTATTTAAAGGAATAACCTTCAGAAACTCTCACAGTACAATGATAATGACTCAAAACTTGTAACTGAGACAACTGTACTTGATGGAAACTGAGAGCTTTGATTTGTTGCCAGATTCATGAATAGCTCAATATTGTCAAACTATTTTTTGAACTATAACAATATTATATCCTTTTGCAAATTAGTTGTCAAGGATTTTCTCTGGGTTTGGGTTTGATTCCCAGATTTGTCCCTGGTTTGTCTGTACCCATTGTGGGGGTTTCAGCAGTCTCACACATCAGAATCTGCATCACTTGGGCTGGCTCTTCACACATTTAGCACACACAAATGATAAACTGACCTGGTTAAATTAGTGGGAACAAACTCACTAATGTTTGGATGATGCGGTGTGCTTGTTTTGGGTTGAGGAGCAGAGACAGTTATGAAATAGGATCATGGGGAGTGCTTCGTGTACAGTCCAGTATTTCTAACCTATGCTTGCTTGTGTTTATGAGCAGCTGAGGAATAGAACTCTCATATCCATTTCCATGTACAAATGTCCATATGTTGATAAATGTTTAAGCAGGTTTTTAGGATCTGTAAATTGACATTACTAATGAATGTTTGTGCAATTATAACCAGATATTGTAAGTAACCACGGTACCTTGTCCTGATTTTGTGTTATTGTCAGTCGGCAGTGTCTGTGTCATGATGCAAACAGACACAGAGGAACAAAACCAGACAGGTCGGAGGTGACACGGAGTGGAGGTTGATGTCAAGGTACACTTATAGCAGTGTGTGTGTGGCTGCCTGTACTCATCCAGACTAATGCCTTGTAGTGTATACAGTTACCATGACACATAACATGGATAACCCACGCCGACACAGTGTACAGACTTGTAATGCTAGCTCATAGTTACAATACATTTTAGCATGGATAATTCACTCTGACCTGACCAGTCCTTGTTATGTCAGCTTAATGCTGAGAAACAGACTAAAACAACTTGTACTATCTTTTAACATCTCTTGGTATGACACAGCCAGAGATCGAATCACAGATGCTTCAGTGTCCAAGCAGACGTCGTATCCACCAGAAGAAAGCAGCAGTCTGTGCATGTCTAAAGTCTTACAGCTGGTCACTGTTACATGTACATGTTAATTCAGTGTAGGATTTTTTGCTATCAAATGAAACTGATTCATGGAAAATCCTTATGTTACAAGCCCCCCACTTATCTGTATTATGCTTATTTAACCTTGTATGGGATTTGGTCAATTATTTGCTTATCAACATTTACAGATATTTCTATAATTTTGACGTTTTAATGTAAAATTCCATCATATATTAACAAAATATATATCAATTGAAACTATTGGACACATTTGCCAAATATATATCTTTTAATGATTTGATATATGCATAAACTAAATTTCTGCCAATCTTTTCACTGTTTCATCAGAACACGTCTGTACTGTGGAGATATTTAAGCCCTGTTTTTATGCAGTTCATCACTGAGGTCCCGGTGTAAACTTTGACATACTCACCTGATTCAGAGGTCACTGTGCATCATGTTCAGTGAACACATGTAATGAAGTCGACATCCGTGTAGATATGTAATCATCGTGTGTGTCCTTGTTGGATGTCGGTATGATTTAAAATCATTTGTATTTATCGGCATCTGTTTTCAATCATATGCATCAACCTGAGAGGTTAGCAAGATGTAACTAGGAATCTACGAATGTGGAGGTAAGAAGTTCATAAACCACGGATCCTGGATTTAGATTCCATATCATGAAGAAAGCTGTTGAGAAACAGGTGAGCAAGCTGTCATACAGCAGTGTTTGAAATTTATGACAGAACACCAGCATTTTTATTTCCAAAAACACATTTTGTTGGGGATGGGTGGGATTAACCATGAAATCTATTGATCAAAAAGATTAGGTCTGAATTTAAAATGGAGTGAAAATAATCCCTTTTACCTCCTTATTGGCTTCTCATTAAATAGGGGTGGTGGGGTAGCCTAGTGGTTAAAGCGTTCGCTTGTCATAAGCACGGTGTCCCCAGACCTGAGTTCGATTGCCCACATGGGTACAATGTGTGAAGCCCATTTCAGGTGTCCTGTGCCGTGATGTTGCTGGAATATTGCTAAAAGTGGCGTAAAACGTAACTCACTCACTCACTCTTATTAAATAAGACTCTTTAAAGGTTGCTTGTGACAAGTGTCAGGAGTTGTCTGCCCTATTGTGGTCTTTGCTTGAAGATTTGGAGGAATTTTATACACTGCATTCGTCAATAAAATTAACTAGATGTTCAAGCTGTTTCTTGTTAGGGCTGTAACGATCACCTTATGCCACAATGTGGAATATCGCATCAAATGGGTCTCCTAATATGGCAAGTGTCAATCTTGTATCACGTCATGGATCAGATTACAAGATTCCTGTCAAGATATGCAGGGCATCAAGATGAACCGTATTGTCAGCAGCAACTTGATGTGTATTGTTGTCAGCCTGTTGTCGATACAGTCTACTTGTCCTAACAGACCCAGACTTCGATTTTATGATTTAGTGGGTAAGTGAGTATAGTTTTATGCCGCTTTTAGCAATATTCCAGCAATATTACTGCAAGGAGACGAGAAATGGACATTAACATTTTTCCATTAATTGGAACTGAACCAAAGTCTTGGGCATGATAAGAGAATGCTTAGACCACTAGGCTGCTCCAAACACCTCTGATTTATAGTATCTTGTGGCATTTAAAGGCATTATTATCATATGAAATAGAGAGTGATAGGGCATATAACAAATATACATGTATAAGGTCATGTTTTACAGGTAAACCTGCTAGAATGTTTAGAGTTATAATCATTCTTATTCTTTAACCCTTTCCTTGTTTCATCTTCAAGTTGTCAAAAAATGTCACGTTAAACTTATATGTTTATTTTCTCTTAATCTTTGGATATCTGTAAACAGAATAGGAACATATTTGAAGTTGCTTCCTGAACTGAATGTAGGGGAGCAGCTGTCCTGTAGTTAGAAACAAGAAAACTTGTCAGTCCTGGAGACTGAGGATCTACAAGGAATTACAGATTATCTGTCCCGAGAATGTAGACAGTGTAAATCCTGAGATTTGATGTGGGACTTACAGCTTTCATTCAGGGGCAGATAATCCCATTGATTTTGTGTTGGTTATTCTATATATCACCCTTGTCATTTTAGGGGAGAATATAAAGAAAACAGCATGAAATGTTGATTCTATCTGCTTTAGATAGACTTCATTGAAAGCAATCTGGTCTTCATAGGAAATGTAATCTTAATTTGGGATGTCATGAACAGCGGAACATCACTTGTCTCAACATTGAAGCACTGTGTTGTCACATGGCTTCAACTGACCAATCAGCATCAAGAAGTGCTTAAGTGCACATATCAGCAAGTAATTATATGATCTTTCCTCTAAGGAAAATGGCTGTTTTGAGATAGTTTATTTGTGCATAATGTTGCTGTCGCCATGTCACGGTTGTTTTAATCATGATAATTCACATGCTATTTATTGACAACTGTTTCTATTGTATATATATATACTTTTTTTACTTTGCTTTAATTAACCCATTGTTTCCTATGTGTTGTAAATATACCCAACTGCTCAAAATTCTAGGTAATCTGTCGATAAGATCTGTTTAAATATAAAGATTGGGATGACACAACAAACCAAATCCATGCATGGGGCAAATCTAGAATAATGATGGTCTTTGAATTAGCATGTTCACCAGAAATCCAGTGTTTGGGCAGCCATGCTACGAGGCCCTTATTAGGAATTAATAAACATATCGATCCCAAGTAGCCCTGTGCTTGTGTCCATGTGTTAATTATCTGCTTCGTTCGTGGTTAGGGCCTTATTTATTGTACTGTGGCCCATACCAGGGATTTGTATGAAGACTTGGAGATGTTGGTTTAGCATTCCATGATGATCTTGCCCTACTCTCTGTTTCTGCCTGGCCTAGGCTGCTTTGTAACGGGTCTATTTTCACAACTGAATAAAAGCAGGTTACACTTCATGTTGTGTTAGTTTGTATTTCCACTTGAATAATAGCTGTGAAGTTTCTCTTTGAACAAGTCAGCAGATGACACATCCCCCCTGGTCCGGACACCCATGTGACAATATTGGTCCATTGTCTTTGGATGCCTTCAGTTCAGTGATAAAACGAATAATGCAGCTCAGTATTGTTCAATCATCAAAACAGTGAAGATCCAGGCTAAAATTGATCTTCAGTAACCCATGCTTGTCGTAAGAGGTGATTAACAGGATCGGGTGGTCAGGCTCGCTGACTTGTATGATATGTCATAGTAACCCAATTGTGTAGATCCCACAGGAACCAACATCAGAATAGGTCTGACAGTAGAACCTGAGTTAGAATAGGTCCCCACAGGAACCAACGTCAGAATAGGTCCGACAGTAGAACCTGGGTTAGAATCGGTCCCCACAGGAACCAGACGACAGTAGAACCTGGGTTAGAATAGGTCTGACAGTAGAACCTGAGTTAGAATAGGTCCCCACAGGAACCAACGTCAGAATAGGTCCGACAGTAGAACCTGGGTTAGAATAGGTCCCCACAGGAACCAACATCAGAATAGGTCCGACAGTAGAACCTGGGTTAGAATAGGTCCCCACAGGAACCAACATCGGAATAGGTCCGACAGTAGAACCTGGGAAGGAGAACCAGTAGGTCCTCAGTAGAACCAGGTTTAGAACAGATGTCAGTCGAATGTGGGAAAGAACACCTGCCCAGCACCAACCAACATCCTTGAATAGGTCCGACAGTAGAGTTTGGCGGTCCTGGAGGTTCGATCCTGTGGTGGTCCTGGAGTCACTGTAGCTTGTGGGTCCTGGAGTCACTGTAGCTTGGGATGGAGAACCAGTAGGGTCCTCAGTGAACCTGGAGTCACTGTAGCCTGTGTGGTCCTGGAAATACTGGAGTCACTGTAGCTTGTGGTGGTCCTGGGGTTCACTCACTGTGTAGCTTGTGGTGGTCCTGGAGTCACTGTAGCTTGTGGTGGTCCTGGAGTCACTGTAGCTTGTGGTCCTGGAGTCACTGTAGCTTGTGTGTGGTCCTGGAGTCACTGTAGCTTGTGGTGGTCCTGGAGTCACTGTAGCTTGTGGTGGTCCTGGAGTCACTGTAGCTTGTGGTGGTCCTGGAGTCACTGTAGCTTGTGGTGGTCCTGGAGTCACTGTAGCTTGTGGTGGTCCTGGAGTCACTGTAGCTTGTGGTGGTCCTGGAGTCACTGTAGCTTGTGGTGGTCCTGGTCACTGTAGCTTGAGTCACTCCTGGAGTCACTGTAGCTTGTGGTGGTCCTGGAGTCACTGTAGCTTGTGGTGGTCCTGGAGTCACTGTAGCTTGTGTTGGTCCTGGAGTCACTGTAGCTTGTGGTGGTCCTGGAGTCACTGTAGCTTGTGGTGGTCCTGGAGTCACTGTTGTGGTGTTGGTCCTGGCTTGTGTTGGTCCTGGAGTCACTGCAGCTTGTGGTGGTCCTGGAGTCACTGTAGCTTGTGGTGGTCCTGGAGTCACTGTAGCTTGTGTTGGTCCTGGAGTCACTGTAGCTTGTGGTGGTCCTGGAGTCACTGCAGCTTGTGGTGGTCCTGGAGTCACTGTAGCTTGTGGTGGTCCTGGAGTCACTGCAGCTTGTGGTGGTCCTGGAGTCACTGTAGCTTGTGGTGGTCCTGGAGTCACTGTAGCTTGTGGTGGTCCTGGAGTCACTGTAGCTTGTGGTGGTCCTGGAGTCACTGTAGCTTGTGGTGGTCCTGGAGTCACTGTAGCTTGTGGTGGTCCTGGAGTCACTGTAGCTTGTGTTGGTCCTGGAGTCACTGCAGCTTGTGGTGGTCCTGGAGTCACTGTAGCTTGTGGTGGTCCTGGAGTCACTGTAGCTTGTGGTGGTCCTGGAGTCACTGTAGCTTGTGGTGGTCCTGGAGTCACTGTAGCTTGTGGTGGTCCTAGAGTCACTGTAGCTTGATGGGTGTGTCTCATGCTATCAACCACTACCTTGCTTGACCCTGACTAATGTGGGATTTCTGATGAATGAATGAACATTATTTCAAACTACAGACCTAGTTTTACAGCCGAATGACTGTAGGGTGAACAGAAATAAGGTGGCAACAAGACACATTCTGATGATGCCTTGTAATAAAAATATTTATTTGACTTTACAATAAATAGAATCATGATTGAAATGTAACAATATGGAAGGCCACAATAGGCTGAGTAATGTGTTTGATCATTTTATTCACAACTGACCCCTCTCCTCTGTTATCACACAACCTTGCCCCAACCCCCCAAACCTACCCCTTCCCACAGCTCTGTGAAAGTGACAGTCCCATTTCTCCCACTCTAAGTGATGCTGCCCTTTCAATAATCCAGCTGACTCTCTCCCTTCCTTCATCTCTCCACCATAAGGTACAGTCCTCCTCCCAACCCAACCCAAACCCAGTCTCCCTGTATTCTCTCACCCTGTCTCCTGTATTCTCTACCCTGTCTCCCCTGTATTCTGTATTCTCTACCCTGTCTCCCCTGTATTCTCTACCCAGTCTCCCCTGTATTCTCTACCCTGTCTCCCCTGTATTCTCTACCCTCTCTCCCCTGTATTCTCTACCCAGTCTCCCCTGTATTCTCTACCCTGTCTCCCCTGTATTCTCTACCCAGTCTCCTGTATCCCCCTGTCTCCCTGTGATTCTCTGTATTCTCTACACCCAGTCTCCCCTGTATTCTCTACCCAGTCTCCCCTGTATTCTCTATGCCCAGTCTCCCTTGGTCTCCCCTGTATTCTCTACCCTGTCTCCCCTGTATTCTCTACCCAGTCTCCCCTGTATTCTCTACCCAGTCTCAACTGTATTCTCTACTCTAAGATGGTCCCAGAAACAGTCTATCCAAGTAAGAACTGTGTCCTACATCTTCCAGCATCATAACTGTGTGACTTTGTCTTTGACTAGAGCGGTGAGGGTTTTCTGTGTGACAGACCTGGAACACAAACAGTATCTTAACACTGAATACATAGATATTACATCAAGATTATCACGACAGATGAATCAAGAATATTATAGTGAGGTGATGAATCATTACTGCAGAGTCAAGTTACGTTTAATTTTAATTTGATTAAGTTATCTAATACTGCATATATTGTGCTAGAATGTTGATAATTTGCTTAAAAAGGGAGTAACTTCTGGAGGTATACTGACATCGTCAATATTGATAAAATGTCTATAATCTAGTGCTACAATATGGTACCTGTTAACAGGTAAACTCCTGGGAAATCACTCAAAGTAATCCATATGAATGGAAACTTATCATTGATTGTTTTCCTTGGACAACACATAATTTACCCTGTAGTTTGTAAAGATGGGACAGTCATGCATTAATTTGTTCATTCTATGAGTGTGTTCCGATTGTGTCTCCAACTTACCTCATGGCAAAGGTTGGGATGTTGACGTCGTATATGATGAAGATCTGGTGTTGACCCTCCTGCAGAGCGTAACACTTGTGAGACTCACACACCACGTACGTCTCCATGGCCTGATGGGGGAACTCCGACGGACCTGAACAGTGAGTGAGTGAGTGATAATCCCCACATAAACGCTCCATCTCAATGTAACTTTGCTGTTTTATGCCACACTCGGCAATATTCCAACTATATGTCATGGTCTGTACATAATCAAATTGGACCAGACAATCAAGTGATTAATATTACAACCACGAAACCATGACAACAGGGTATGATGACACACCATTAACTAGGTTACAGCGTCGGACAGCACATGGAAGCTACAACTACCAGGTTACAGCGTTGGACAGCACATGGAAGCTACAACTACCAGGTTACAGCGTCGGACAGCACATGGAAGCTACAACTACCAGGTTACAGCGTTGGACAGCACATGGAAGCTACAACTACCAGGTTACAACGTTGGACAGCACATGGAAGCTACAACTACCAGGTTACAGCGTTGGACAGCACATGGAAGCTACAACTACCAGGTTACAGCGTTGGACAGCACATGGAAGCTACAACTACCAGGTTACAGCGTTGGACAGCACATGGAAGCTACAACAGGTACCAGGTTACAGCGTTGGACAGCACATGGAAGCTACAACTACCAGGTTACAGCGTCGGACAGCACATGGAAGCTACAACTACCAGGTTACAGCGCTTACTGGACAGCACATGGAAGCTACAACTACCAGGTTACAGCGTTGGACACATGGAAGTACAACTACCTGGTTACAGCGTCGGACAGCACATGGAAGCTACAACTACCAGGTTACAGCGTTGGACAGCACATGGAAGCTACAACTACCAGGTTACAGCGTCGGACAGCACATGGAAGCTACAACTACCAGGTTACAGCGTCGGACAGCACATGGAAGCTACAACTACCAGGTTACAGCGTCGGACAGCACATGGAAGCTACAACTACCAGGTTACAGCGTTGGACAGCATAAGCTACCAGGTTACACAGCACAGCTACAACTACCAGGTTACAGCGTCGGACAGCACATGGAAGCTACAACTACCAGGTTACAGCGTACAGCACATGGAAGCTACAACTACCAGACAGCACATGGAAGCTACAACTACCAGGTTACAGCGTTGGACAGCACATGGAACAACTTACAGCGTTGGACAGCACATAGGCTACAACTACCAGGTTACAGCGTTGGACAGCACATTACGGAAGCTAACTACCAGGTTACAGCGTTGGACGGCACATGGAACTACCAGGTTACAGCGTTGGACAGCACATGGAAGCTACAACTACCAGGTTACAGCGTTGGACGACAGCACATGGAAGCTACAACTACCAGGTTACAGCGTCCGGACAGCACATGGAAGCTACAACTACCAGGTTACAGCGTTGGACAGCACATGGAAGCTACAACTACCAGGTTACAGCGTTGGACAGCACATTACTACGGAAGCTACAACTACCAGGTTACAGCGTTGGCATGGAAGCTACAACTTGGACAGCGTTGGACAGCACATGGAAGCTACAACTACCAGGTTACAGCGTTGGACAGCACATGGAAGCTACAACTACCAGGTTACAGCGTTGGACAGCACATGGAAGCTACAACTACCAGGTTACAGCGTCGGACAGCACATGGAAGCTACAACTACCAGGTTACAGCGTTGGACTACAACTACCAGCACACAGCACATGGAAGCTACAACTACCAGGTTACAGCGTTGGACAGCACATGGAAGCTACAACTACCAGGTTACAGCGTCGGACAGCACATGGAAGCTACAACTACCAGGTTACAGCGTTGGACAGCACATGGAAGCTACAACTACCAGGTTACAGCGGACAGCACATTGGACAGCACATGGAAGCTACAACTACCAGGTTACAGCGTTGGACAGCACATGGAAGCTACAACTACCAGGTTACAACGCTGGACAGCACATGGAAACTACCAACTACCAGGTTACAGCGTCGGACAGCACATGGAAGCTACAACTACCAGGTTACAGCGTCGGACAGCACATGGAAGCTACAACTACCAGGTTACAGCGTTGGACAGCACATGGAAGCTACAACTACCAGGTTACAGCGTCGGACAGCACATGGAAGCTACAACTACCAGGTTACAGCGTTGGACAGCACATGGAAGCTACAACTACCAGGTTACAGCGTTGGACAGCACATGGAAGCTACAACTACCAGGTTACAGCGTTGGACAGCACATGGAAGCTACAACTACCAGGTTACAGCGTTGGACAGCACATGGAAGCTACAACTACCAGGTTACAGCGCTGTTGGACAGCACATGGAAGCTACAACTACCAGGTTACAGCGTCCGGACAGCACATGGAAGCTACAACTACCAGGTTACAGCGTTGGACAGCACATGGAAGCTACAACTACCAGGTTACAGCTACCAGGTTACAGCGTTGTTACAACTACCAGGTTACAGCACGGACAGCACATGGAAGCTACAACTACCAGGTTACAGCGTTGGACAGCACATGGAAGCTACAACTACCAGGTTACAGTGTTGGACAGCACATGGAAGCTACAACTACCAGGTTACAGCGTTGGACAGCACATGGAAGCTACAACTACCAGGTTACAGTGTTGGACAGCACATGGAAGCTACAACTACCAGGTTACAGCGTCGGACAGCACAAGCCAAACTACCAACTACCAGGTTACAGTGTTGGACAGCACATGGAAGCTACAACTACCAGGTTACAGCGTTGGACAGCACATGGAAGCTACAACTACCAGGTTACAACGTTGGACAGCACATGGAAGCTACAACTACCAGGTTACAGTGTTGGACAGCACATGGAAGCTACAACTACCAGGTTACAGCGTTGGACAGCACATGGAAGCTACAACTACCAGGTTACAGTGTTGGACAGCACATGGAAGCTACAACTACCAGGTTACAGCGTTGGACAGCACATGGAAGCTACAACTACCAGGTTACAGTGTTGGACAGCACATGGAAGCTACAACTACCAGGTTACAGCGTTGACAGCACATGGAAGCTACAACTACTACAGCTACCACATGGGTTACAGTGTTGGACAGCACATGGAAGCTACAACTACCAGGTTACAGCGTTGGACAGCACATGGAAGCTACAACTACCAGCAGCGTTGGACAGCACATGGAAGCTACAACTACCAGGTTACAGCGTTGGACAGCACATGGAAGCTACAACTACCAGGTTACAGCGTTGGACAGCACATGGAAGCTACAACTACCAGGTTACAGCGTTGGACAGCACATGGAAGCTACAACTACCAGGTTACAGCGTTGGACAGCACATGGAAGCTACAACTACCAGGTTACAGCGTTGGACAGCACATGGAAGCTACAACTACCAGGTTACAGCATCGGACAGCACATGGAAGCTACAACTACCAGGTTACAGCGTTGGACAGCAACTACCAGAAGCTACATGGACTACCAGGTTACAGCATCGGACAGCACATGGAAGCTACAACTACCAGGTTACAGCGT